GGAGCAGCCATTATCATGGCCAGTGGAGCATGTCTGTAAGTATTTTAGAATTTTGTACTTAGGTTATTACGATAATAGATTTTAGTTTTACCCTCATATATTACTTGTGTTTGGGTCGAAAGGTTGACATATGTTTTAAAGATTTTTGCACTTGAAACCTCTGACACGATTCCTCTCAAAGATAGGTCTTCACATAGAAATGGCTGCTCTGAAATTGATAGGGTCTTTACTTCAGGACAGTGGTAGGACAAGTGCTTTTGTTGAGGCAGGAGTTGCCTCATCTGGTGCTGCAGAATCTTATCTGTCAGCCTCAAGTGTTACCAGATCTCGTCAAGCACATCATATCACAGCATTTTGTCTATACAAGCAGAGGCAAGCTGCATATAATAGCTATAGCAGAGATACATCTTAAAGTCCACAAGGCGTTCTTGATTTCGAAGAGTGGTGTAAGAAACGATGACTCGAAAGTCCACAGTTTGCATTTTGTTTTAGCTCTAGAGCTAACCATTCCAACATTGGTTCGTTCATTCAGAGAAGCCAACTTTTGCCTGTATCGCGAGGCGCTGGCAGAACTTCTCCCCTATTTCTTTGCAAACAATGTGAATTATGTGTGGTGGCTTTAAATTCACCTCAGAGATATGATGACCATCGATCAACAACATCCAGAAGTAGCACAAATCTTGCAAAGAATTCTTCTCAATTGCAATTGACCAAGCTCACGAACAAATCAATGCAGTCATCAAGGATGATGGAGGAACGATAGGCTTGACAGAGGACCCTACAGCACTCTGGAGGTGGATGATAGCTGGACCAGAGGTGAGCTGCCTAGTTGCTCGCTACAAAGAGTTTGCGGGAACTTAAGATGCAACAATCACTAGAAAGCATCACGAACAAGGCGGAAGTGCTCAAATAGCAGTCTTTGAGAAAGTGGAAAAGCTATTCACAGCATTTAAAGAAATGGGCAATTCTTTTGAAGAAGAGTCTGCGGAACTCCACGTATTAGACAAAAAGCTAAGGACATTGCCGATCCAGCTAATTCAAGACTTGTTGCTACTCACCATAGCAGAGGCAAAGATCAGTTCCAATCCTTCATTGAAGGACTCACGAACGAAGAGCACACCTAATCTTATCAAATAGAAAGAACAAGATCACTTTCTACAAGCAAGAGGAAATTTCCAGTGCTGCCAGTTCCAAGGAGAGGACACTGAAAGAGGACTGTCACCTATTTTCCCAACTCTTCATTTCATGTCAAAGCAGACAGTGTGATTTGCATGATTTCTTCCAGCACGAAAACCAGTCAGCTCCAGCTTCCCTCAGTGACAGTGGAAAATTTCACACATGCCAGAAATCGCAATTGGTTAAGATACTTGACCCTGACACTTTGATGCCAAACACAGAACCAGAGGTAGATGCAACCATCATAGATGGATCCCTGAGCTCTTGTCAACTCCCAGCCCCCACGTACGACAAAGACATTTGATGACTACGCCAATGGGGACATCCTTCCAAGAGTTACATCATATTCTACCAAATACCAAAGAGTTGACATTGTGTTTGATGTGTATAAGGCGTCCAGCCTAAAAGTGGAGGCACGATCCAAAAGGGGCACAGAGATACAAAGAAGGGTTACACCAACCAGACTCCCCAAAATTGGAAAAGCTTTTTGAGAGATAACAACAAGACTGAACTTTTCCATTTTCTTGCGGACCGGTTGTCCGAAGCAGACATGCCGTGCTTGGAATACGTCTGTTGCAATCGCCTAATTGCGTTAGAAGATTTAGCACCATGTATGCACAAAGAGGCAGACCCACGTATTTTTGTGCACGGATGACATGCGGCAATGGACGGCAGTAAGGCTTTAATGATTAAGGCAAACGACACGGATGTGGTAGCTATTGCCATATCTGTCATAAAATCCTTAAAGGAGACTGGTCTTGAAAAAATGTGGATTGCGTTTGGCCAAGGAGGAAATTTTCGATTGATTCCAGTGCACGAACTGGTAACCACAATCGGTCCAGAGAAAGCCAGTAGACTCCCATTCTTTCACGCATTCACGTGATGTCACACTGTGTCTGCTTTCCGTGGCAAAGGAAAGAAGTTTGCATGGCAAACATGGAATGTCTGTAAAGAGGTCACGAACATTTTCACCAAACTTAGTCAGTGTGTGACAGCTCTTGACGATGCTGATCTGCAGAGTCTAGAGCAGTTTGTTGTGGTCATGTATGACAGGTTCAGTGCAGATACAAGTGTGAACTATGCAAGACTGAATTTATTCGCTCACAAACAGAGGCCGTATGATGCAATACCACCTCAGTTTGCCCTCAAGCTACATTTAAAGCATGCTGCCTACCAAGGAAGAATTATCTGGGGTCAAGCCACTCTCCCTCAACCTGTCACAAAAGGTCCAGCTGATTGGGGATGGAGTAGGCGAGGTGACACGTAACAGATACTTTGGACTGACATTCCATCAATTGCTGCAAGTTGTCGAGAACTAACCAGATGTGGCTGCAAAAAGGACTGTTGTGGGAGGTGCAAATGTCTTTGCTCTGGGCTGAAATGTACAGCTTTGTGTAGCTGTTCGTGTGAAAAGTAGCTCCACCTGGTCATCGACTATAGTAGGCAAACAATATAAATTGTATAGCAGCACTATTTGGCACTGTTCCGAAATCAAAAGCTTGTTTGAAAAGCTGTTTTTGAATTAGTCAGCTACAAAATGCTGGGCGTAATGAATTACTGTCCTGAATATCAGAATTCGGTTGAAGTAGGTATGTAATGTACCTTGTATATTTGAAACTTATACGTGATCAGAGGTTGTTTAAAAAAGAACTGTTTGGGCATTACCCAGCTAAGAAACTGCTGGGCGTATTGAATTACCGTACTGAATACCAGATAAGCACATAATGTAACCTGTATATAACAGTACTATGAGTTCATGAGTGCCTGTTAAAGAAAGAATTCTTTAGAATGGTTTGCCCATTTTCAGAAACTGAAAGATGTATGGAAGAGTCAATTGTACCTAAAGGATGCTAGCAGTAAAACGTAATCAGCGAGAAATAAACTGCTCATATGTTGCTTCAAGATGAGTTGAAAGTAAGGCTATTACTTAAAATGGCGGCCATTATATCACATCACAGCCATTTTTAGCCATTTTGAAAAAAAAAACTCTTGTTAATGCGAATTTCAAGTGGCTAATCGACTAGAATGAAAGAATAGACAATTTAGAATGTTCCTGCCAAATTTCATGCTTGTATCACCAAGTGAACAATTGAAGCTGTTAGCCGCTACACTAAGTGACGGATCCAGGCCTTGAGCTAAGGGGTGGGGAAGTGTTTTTCTTACCTTCCTTCTTCTTCTTCCTTCTTTTTCTTACCTTCTCCTTCTGTGATTTCTATTTTTACCCAAAATAATAGGGGGAGGGGCCCCGGCTCTAGATTCGCCGCTGTTAACATAAGAAGAGTTCGTTTCATGACACCAGCATGGCCACCATTTCATTGTTTTAAGACATCAATAGGGCTACCGTGACGTCAAATGAAAACACTCTATAGATAAAAAAAAAATTGCTGGCCTTTGCCTCGCCCATTTCTCGTCACTGCCTGAGGGTCCTTATTTGGTCCACGTGGCTCATCTTTACATGGCGTTGACATCAGCGGACTGTGCTTCAGAGGGACGATTGGTAAGAGAGGTAAGACCTTTGCCCGCCTTGTCTGGCAGAAAACGTGGCAAGTTCAGTATACTGAAGTTCCTCAGGCTTGGGTTTCTTAAACAAATATATAATCTGTTTCAACGCCGGCGGCCCTTTACTGCTTAAGTTTAACATCCCCCACCACACACAGTATCTTGCCACGTCGCCCTCACATTTGTTAGTAAATATTTATACCACTGGTTGAGAGTATCATGTTCAGCGATAGGAAGTGTCTAAATTTTCCATTTTCGAAAATGAGGAGAGCTTATAATGCTGAAAATTAGGTTCAAACCTTACACTTTTGCCTCTAAAAACGGAAACCTCTTCTCCTCCTTTTGCCAATTCTATGCCTATTACTGGCGCAATAAAACTACAACAAAGATTTTTTTCTGCTTAATAACATTCCAAGTTAGGGTTGCATTTAAACTAAACGCCTCATAGCCTGCGAAAATAGCCGTCCTTCTTCGCTGCCGTCCGAGTCATGAAACGCCACTCGGGCCGGGAGCGAAGAAGGACGGCTGTTTTCGCAGGCTAAACGCCTCAGATCAAGCAACCATATGATATCACCGTACTTTATCATATTTGCAAGGTAAAACACTTATCAAAATGTAACTTTTATTTGACACTATTTTACTCAATGATTTACGCACCTTTGGTTTCCTTTGAATTTATCAACCACAGCATACTGTGCCTTATCCGCTCCTCTGTTACCATTCTGTGCGGTATCATAAAGAACTGGAGGCACCGAAGAGGGATTGCCGCCTCCAGAGTGGCGATTAGGTCGGCCTTCACATCCACTGGTCACTTGAACATAAGCTTGTTCCTGAACTTCTCCCCTGCAAAAAAACTCCCTTAGTAATATACTGTAAGTATAAAAAAATCACCGAGCTCTGATTAGGAAATAAAAAAGGCTTCTTTTTAAGCCAACTTGTGATATTTGAAACGATCATGTTTCATGTTATACATTGACAAGGGTGGTCAAAAAGAATCTAAGGAGATGGCCATGGTTACGAGACACAGCATAACTTTACAGCTGTTTTGATTTCTACAACTGTAAAAGAATTCTAACGAAACAAAGAAATAATGTGTTATGTACACAGTACGTAACAGAAGAATGACTACAGTCAGCTTAAAGTGCTACTAACCCAAACAAATTTTTCCTTTAATAAAATCTATTAGTTTCCCTGACTACTTCAGCGAGAAAATTATCTTGATTGATTAAATCCCTGCGTTCCTACAGCCGTTTAAACTAGTAATTTCTATGTTCACCACCGCGCAAAGTGGGATCTGGGTCGGGCTACTTGTGACATCACTTTGGGAACTGGGCTAAAACACTCAAGCGACTTTTGACTGAGCTTCGAGGGTTGTCAAGACATTTTCGGGTTATCTGTGAACCATATTTTATCAAAACTAGACAAGAACTTTAAGTGAAAGAACTGTATCATCTAGCATTACAATTCGGAGTCTAGCTACGATTTGGACGGCTGCGATGTACATATTTTTTTTTGCATTTCGAAGTGCGGGTTGCCAGTCGAGATCACTGCATTGTGTAATTATATTTAGGCCGGGATCGACAATTTGCTGGTCCATTTGGGTGATAAAGGTACAAATAATGACTGAAGAGTTAGCTTACAGCTCTTAAAGAGTTATAAAGATGTCAATGAACACGAAGAGTTGGTAATTTGACTTTACGGACCGTGCAAATTTCGGAGTGTCAAAACAATTTTACATTCAGACAATTTCCCCCGAAATACAAGTTAAAATGCGACGCAGTCGTACTCCACTCCTACCTACTTCTTCAGATCAATGATTGAAAATAGTGTTAACATAAGAGATAAGCAGAGATGTCGGCAAACAATATTCGAAGGTGAGGTAACTTTACGCTCCGTTATAGTCGACCGACCATGTGCATAGTCAATTACTGTGTATGACCACAAGCTACGCAAATTTGCATATCTCGTACTAGTGAAATCATGGAAAATCCTTCGACAAGATCTTGAAAAGCGGTTCAGTATACTTTCAGTTAAATGAATACATTTCTGCTTCACTGTTATTTTGAATGAAATGTCCATTTTACACACGCTAATAACCTGGTTGCATTCTTCTTTTAGCACGCCAATCTCCTTCGGTAGCTATAGAGTCGAACCTTACTCGTTTGTTTCACTTTCCTCGTATATTTATAAATGGTTGATTCATTCTAAGTTTGTAATTTAGATATATTTTGTTCCACAAAGACAACGATCAAAGGACAAAACAATTCTGTCCATTGAGAAACAAGGCTGGATTACAGGCGACTTCTGGCGTGTGTGTTTTTATTAAAATCAACAAATACATAGCTAGTTCACCAGTTCGAAGCCTCAACAATCTTCTTCGCATTGTTGTAGAAAGGTTTCGTTTACTATTAGTTTAGACAAGTCTCTATTTCGAATACAAAAAATGCGATGCGTTTAATTTACCGTGTAATTTCCTGACCTATAGTTTCGTCTGGGACTCGGAGGATCGGATGTACTCGAAATAGTCAGATGGCTTCCAACTTATCCCAAATTCGTGTGTTATGCACTACCTTGACAATTTCAAGCATTCAATTAGAGATAGAGAAGAATATACAGGCCATGAAAATCTCTAGGTTTTTACAGTAGCGGCGAACCCGAGATCGAACAAATCCTCAATGGCTCCCTGGCTTTAGCTTCGCACAGATCAGCCAACCTCTTTGGTCTTTTTCTCGTTTCTGGTCGAGTTTCATCGAGATAGAGGTATTGAATGAAGAAGAATACTCTATTCTATGCATCCTGTACTGCTACAACTACTATAGCACCCTCATTTGGGCGGTAACCAATCAGAAGCCGAGAAAGGCAATAGGCTATTGTTTGACGAACAATGGATTCCATTGTTCTCCGATCCAAGATGGCGCTATTTCATTTTCAGCCAATCAGGAGTCAAATTAAGAATTTAAGATGGTGGCACCCATGAAGCGAAAGCGCGGCCGTGTTGGAAAACAGCCCACCTAGCTTTGACAGAGTACTGGGACTGGTCTTACCAATTTCCATGGCGACACAAATCACGCCAGGGTCACACTAAATGTCACGCAGCTTAAAAATGGATCAGATACTTACTGCGTCCTGTCATCTTAAACGACAGAAGTCATTCCTTTAGCTGGACATGATAAAGACTGAGAGAAGTGGGTCCAAGTGTGGTCTACATAGGGTGCCGCCAAGCCTCATGGGGCGATGACGTCATCGGCGTTCAATCAGAGTGAAAAAAATTCAGAATGACTTAAAGTACCTACAGTTTTGACTTCCCCGGTCGACTCTGTTAAGGCGAGCATTAAACCCTGAAATCTCACCATTGTGGGCCACTCCCCGAGGGTTAGTTACTTCGGCTCATTTTGGAAAAATCCCTGAAACTTCAGGGTGGGCATGAACCCTCTTACTTTACAGCACACTTTGCCATTCTTGGTTTTGTAGCCGTAATTCTTTGGACCCGCTGACGTGAAGCCCACAACGCAGTCATCTCCTTCTAACCCATCTGTCATGTCCCCTAAGTAATTACCTAATGAAATGTCAGGTTCACCTAGTTTACATGAATACATGATTGAGTCTGTGTTGAAGTAGAGTACCTGTTGTTGCAGTTGCTGAAGATATGAGTACAGCTTTGATCAGGCCCAACAGGTTGTAAAGGTAGCCACGAAGATGTTGACTCGACAATTGTCTGGTTGATTTTTCTTGAGATTGGAGTAGTCCACTTCTAAGATTTCATCACTGCAGATGCGTACAGCGCGAATGTCGAAGAGGGTGTTGGACACTAGATGGAAGAGATGAGCTGGGGTGTTGATGGCTTCAGTCATTTTCTTGTGGAGGTTTTTGCCAAACTTACCCCAAAAAGAATTTAGCATTAACTTGGCAGTAGCCTTTCTGCCAGGATTTTTAACGATGAGTGTGAAGTCCAGTTGGATGCCTTCATGACGCTTGTAGTTGTCTACGTACTGCTGTTTTAGTTCTGGTTTGGAGGCCCAGCCTGGGTGTCCTGCTGATTCCCATTTGATCTTGAGCCAGGTGTTGACATATTCAGCAAAGAGACCCTCTTTTTTTGTGCTCTTCTGGAAAATGCCACACCTCGTGGATGCACATTAATTTGCACCCCTGCTCCAATGCCTTGACGATTTCTGGGGTGACAGGATCTGTCTAACAACTCTTTTGGCATTTCTTCCTTCATGCACCAGCGACAGAGAGGAAAGGTCAATTTGCCACAATGGTAGAGAAGAGGTGGTGGAAGAATATCTACTTTGGCCATACCGAAGTACACATTGATGTCCTGGTTCTCAGGGGTGGTGATGATGGTAGGATGACCCACTGGATACATTTGGGTTTTGTTCACCCATGGGTAGAGAGATGTGACATTGACATATTTGATTTTTTCTCCCTGAGTTTCATCTGCTTCATGATGGAGGCATACAGCGTTCGTTCATCCACCAAAGAAAGCATCCCGGATATTGAGGGGGGCCACCAATTCGTAGGATGTCAGGAACTCTTGTAGATCTTCATTGGATTTCACTTTGCAGTCTCAGTCACATTTCCACCATCTGAACTCTAGATTTTTTCTTTTGAGTTCTGTGGCTTTGCACATTTTTTGCAAGTTTCGATCAGGATGGAGTTTGGAGTACTTATCCTGATGAGGATGAGGATGACGTTGTGGACACCCATGCCACAAACACCCGTTCAATTCATAGACGGTTCTTGTGTTGGGGTCAAAACCGTCCACTAAGAAGTTGGAGATGCGCTGTTCACCTCTGTTATTAGCATGCAGAATGTGATCTGCCTGGGAAGTGGATGAGGATAATTGCAAAGATAGTGGCAAGAGATGTTCCTACCAGGCTAACCATTTGAATGCTTTCTCTGATTGGTTGGATCTGGCTCCATGCCATCTCCGAGGCCGTTCTGAGGCAATGGTGTTTGGGGTCAGTAATTTCTTTCTCCAGAAGCGATTACGTGATGACGCGACCATCACACATTTTTCCAAGGGGTCGAACTCAGCTTTTTGTTTCAACTCTTCTTCTTTTCAGCCTGCTTTGAGAAGTTTTACTTCAGACTCACAGTACTTTTCAATTTCGCGATGAAGATTGAATTGGTAATTAGTGTCAACTCTTTCTTGGTACTACCCCAAGAATTCTGCTTTCTTCTTGGTGGACATACCATTAGGATCGTACATGGAGGCTGATGGCATACAACCCTTGTAATCTTGGTGTTCCATTGTGTCAAATAGATGAGGAAAAAAACCCTTACACAGTTCTGTTAAACCCAAAGTTACAGTAAAGGAAGAGAGAGGAAAGGAAAGGAAGCAGACAGTCTTTGAAAGTGAGGGATCAGACTTAAAGGAGAGTATTTTGGTCCCAACAGTGATCTGGTCTGTTACTTCTCTGTGATGACTGTAACAATGTTAGAGAAGGAATATACAATCTACAATCATAACCTTTTAGGTTGTGGATGATGACAATCACATTCCTGTCATCTCCATTCTGATCAATGGCTAATTCTTCCAACCATTTAAAGAAAGGCTCTGTGCAGTCCAGACTGTAGAAAGATTCTGTGTTATAATCTTCATTGGTCTTGGCACAGAGCAAGATGGGAGTTTCAACTCCATGCTCATCTGTGACAGCCTCATTGTTGCAATAGACTTAGAGGGAAGGATCTCTCTCTACCCACACACGAGTGTCTGGATCATCTGGATCCGGTTCTGCGAAAGGACACATCCCTACTTGGTCATGTGACGTCCGTTTCATTTTTGGGTCATCCCCTTATTTGGAATTGTCTGGATGTAGCATTTATGAGAGGCGATGTGAACCTGCTTTTCACAAATTGGACATTCACCCCATCCGCACATGTGTGTTTTGGGTCGACCTCTTTTTTCCATTCTCTACTTAATACGTCTTGCAACACTCGAGACCTTTTTTGTAAGTGCTGCAGATGGAGTTGATGTTTTAACTGCGACGAAAACGTAAATCATCATGTGAGGCGGGTCGATGGAGAGGACCTTGATCTGATATCCGAGGAGTGCCTGTTGGAACATTTTGAGTTCAGGGATGCCACACAGTCCCTTGGGTACAACTGCCATCTGATAGAGCTCCTCGGTCAATTGTTCTTGGATGGGATAGCCCTGCTTCAAATCATGGTAATTACAATCTCTGGTATTCCCGTTAGCATCGACCAATACCTTCATGATTACAATGGCTTGCGTGCAATCTTCCTCACGAAATAGAAAAGCACTGTGACTCTGAAGTAAAACTTCTCAAAGCAGGCTGTCAAAAGTTCCAAGAAGAGTTCAAACAAAAAGCTGAGTTCGACCCCTTGGAAAAATGTGTGATGGTCGCGTCATCATGTAATCGCTTCTGGAGAAAGAAATTACTGACCCCAAACACCAATGCCTCAGAACCGCCTCAGGGATGGCATGGAGCCCGATCCGACCAATCAGTCAAAGCATTCAAATGGTTAGCCTGGCAGGAACATCTCTAGCCACTATCAATGCAATCAACCTCATTCACTCCCCAGGCAGATCACATTCTGCATGCTAATAACAGAGGTGAACAGCGCATCTCCAACTTCTTAGTGGACGGTTTTGACCCCAACACAAGAACCGTCTATGAATTGAACGGGTGTTTGTGGCATGGGTGTCCACAATGTCATCCTCATCCTCATCAGGACAAGTACTCCAAACTCCATCCTGATCGAAACTTGCAAAAAATGTACAAAGCCACAAAACTCAAAAGAAAAAAGCTAGAGTTCAGAGGGTATACTGTAGTGATGAAGTGGGAATGTGACTGGGACTGCGAAGTGAAATTCAGTGCAGATCTACAAGAGTTCCTGACATCCTACTAGTTGGTGGACCTCCTCAATCACCAGGATGCTTTCTTTGCTGGATGAACGAACACTGTATGCCTCCATCATGTAGCAGATGAAATTCAGGGAGAAAAAAATCAAATACGTTGATGTCACATCTCTCTACCCAAGGGTGAACAAAACCCAAATGCATCCAGTGGGTCATCCTGCCATCATCACCACCCCTGAGAACCGGGACATCAATGTGTATCTCGGTATGGCCAAAGTAGATATTCTTCCACCACCTCTTCTCTACTATCAACTGCTTCCCTACCGTCATCGCAGCAAATTGACCTTTCCTCTCTGTAGCTGGTGCATGGAGGAAGAAATGCCAAAAGAGTTGTTAGACAGATCCTGTCACCCCAGAAATCGTCAAAGCATTGGAGCAGGAGTGCGAATTAATTTGCATCCACGAGGTGTGGCATTTCCCAGAAGAACAGAGAAAAAAGGGTCTGTTTGCTGAATATGACAACATCTGGCTCAAGATCAAACAGGAATCATCAGGATACCCGGGCTGGGCCTCCAAACCAGAAAACAGCAGTACGTAGACAACGTGTACATGAAGGCATTTAACTGGACTGCACACTCATCGTTAAAAATCCTGGCAGAAAGGCTACTGCCAAGTTAATGCTAAATTCTTTTTGGGGTAAGTTTGGCAAAAACCTCCACAAGAAAATGACCGAAGCCGTCACCACCCCAGCTCATCTCTTCCATCTAGTGTCCGACACCCTCTTCGACATTCGCGCTGTACGCAGCTGCAGTGATGAAATCTTAGAAGTGGACTACTCCAATCTCAAGGAAAATCAACCAGACAACGGTCGAGTCAACATCTTCGTGGCTACCTTTGGAACCTGTTGGGCCTGATCGAAGCTGTACTCATATCTCCAGCAACTGCAACAACAGGTACTCTACCTCGACACAGACTTAGTCATGTATTCATGTAAACCAGGTCAACCTGACATTTCATTAGGTAATTATTTGGGGGACATGACAGACAAGTTAGAAGGAGATGACTGCAATGCGGACTTTGTCAGCGGGGCCAAAGAATTACGTCTCCTTGAAAATTGCTCGAATGTTACAGATGGTTTTCAAACAGAATTTTCAATCAGCAATGCATGATGTATTGTTTAACAGTGTGATCTAATTTACGCTAAATTACTTGTTTAGATTAGTTCTTTAAGCTTATGAGTATTGCTTTATTGTCATTATTTTAGGTCTCTTTTTAACCTCATGAAAAATTATTACTTATCTTAGATATTTTATTGTATTCTACCACTCTTGAGAAACCAATTTTTACTGCTAGAAACATATTTGCTTTAATTCTATATATTTTTACTCACACTTGAAAATGACTTCGGAGAGGTCTAAACGTCATGGTTTTTGCCTCGTGTCCACATGACCCTCCATACACGAGGGTGTGGAGTGAATCGGGTACATTCCTGCCATGTGTAAGAAATTCCTGTGTAACCATTATTTGCGTTCTTAGTGTAAGATTCCTGTGAAGGGTGGTTCAGGCAACTTATGGGTTATTTTGGCTACGAAAGACAGGTATAAAACGGACGATGAATTGACAGTGTTTGGTGCTATTGATTTTAGAAATACAAGTTTTAACCACTATGTAAAGATCCAAGACAAAATTTATTTATATTTTTTACTCGCTTGCATTTAAATCTAACTTGACATCAAATAACAGGCTTAAAACCTTGAAGTGACGGGTTTCAGTCACGCAGAAAAATGCAAAGATGACAATGGGTGGATTAAAAAATAACCTCTAAAGCACATTTTCTGTGAATAAGCAAACAGGTAAAACCCACAAAAATTAATTGTTAGGTCTATGATCAATATCTCACTATGTATATACCACCATGGGTCAGATCAGGGCATCAGGCCAAATCCAATTGCCTTCGTAATGCTATCGGAAGTGTAACGCTTGCATTCTGTTCACTTTACATTTTACTTTTAGTATGAAGTAGCCTGTGAATACAGGCTAGCATGAAAGCATAATATAAATTTGTACCAATACACGAATTAACTGGAAACTATTTTCGTGGACTGGTTTTCGATTCCTCTGATATCAGTAGCTCTTCATAAGGCAACAAACAACAGACTTGAGCTTAAGATTGGCTTAAACGCAGAGTGGCGTAAGCGTGTCTGAAATGGCACACATGGAATTTTAAACCGTGTGACGATCTGTTTTAGGAAACCATTTTGATTGCAAATACTGAAGTCCTAACCAGCTAAATGCAACCTAACAGAAGGAAAATGTAGGGATCACAATGGGCCGATTAACCCATTGACGCCCGTGCCGCCTGTAACCGCCCATGCGAGAAACCTCTCTATTTCCCTGTGCCCCCGGTAATTGCCAAAAAAAGCACAGGGGGACAATTACCTTTCCTACCCTCCCTAAAGACTTTTTGTTTATCCTATTGCTCTATAGTTCTTGAGGACAAACAAAGCAATCAGAATGGACTTTCTGTGCATATTTTTAGAGGACCTTAGGATGGTTTTTCTTCCTGAAATCGTGTGCTCGTAAAGTGCAGGTGATCATGGTGTGGTGTGGGTCAAATCTTAAAACTTCTAAGGTCTTGTTTTCATTCCTAACACAGGGAAATTACTGCTTTGGGTTTTAAAATAGAAAGGAAAAATACAAATCAATGTTTAGGTGACCTCAGAATGGAAGATCAAGGAGTACAAAGTCCCTAAACCTTTGTGGTGAAGAAGTTTTTCTTCCTACAGCCGCCACAAAAACATGAAGATCGTAGTGCTTTCAAGTAAGTTTTGATGACAGATCGCAGATTTAAAACAGCTTTTTGGACTTAAGAAACAACAGTGGTACTGTACATTATTACTTCGAAGTTGAATTCAAGTTTTGGAATGATTGCTAAAGCCACGGGGGTTAAAATGACTGCAAAAGTGGTCAGCAAAAACTCAAGCTTTCGCCTTAGCGGGAAGAATAATTTGAACACGCGGTCATTTTTTGCTTTCAAATAGGTTTCTTCGCCTCAGCTTGAATGAAAATTTATTGTTATTGAACTTCCTTTCGCATTTCTTTCATTTGGTTCCCTGTATTTGCGAATTTTAGGTTTTAAAAGTGAACAGTATCTTGCACACTGGATTTCTGTATATTTAATTCACGGCGACCTCCAGGCGATTTATTTAGTATACTCGCTTCGTTCAAATGTTTTTTGGAGTCTTTTCCAGGCACTAAAGAACTGCCAAGAAAAGAACTAAATGGCCACTAATTCAACACAGTTGAAATACGACCGATCTCAAAATAATTGGCTTGTTTTTGTCGTCTATTTAAGCTTACAACTTTCATCTTTCTTTCACAGCGCCGTAATATTTCGTTGCGCAGCAAAGAAATTACCTGATTTCTTGTTTTCAGATTGATTTTTACATGAGTTCTTCGCTTTTATATTTCGTTGTTTTCTCAAATGTTAGCCGTTATAGTACAAGAATGAAATTCTGTTGTATTTGGGTTTCGTTTTTGTCCTCTGAAGTCAAGAACTGACTCACTTTCTCATATTCAATTTTCTCAGCTTCTGTGGGACATTTTGTTGCACGGTAAAGACTATGATTTCTTGTTTTCTTATCAATTTTACCCATCAGGTCGAGTTCTTTTTGTTAGTTCTTTTTAATATTTTGGTCCTTCATTTATTCAACTTTAAATAAACAATGTCTTGAAACCTGATCTTGTTTCTGTGGTTACTGCACATATGGTTTATTTTCGTGCTTTCGCTCGCTCTGAAATATTCCAAAAAACGCCAGGGAATTAAGGGGTGGGTCGCGGGCAATCTCATTCAGGCATCAATGGGTTAAAAACTATCATATAATGCGCACTTTCCGAGAGTAAGCAAACAGGTATAAATTACAAACATTAATTGTCACTTAAGGTCAAATTGGGCCAGATCGAGGTAGAATGAATTTTATTCCTAAAATTAATGGAAGTAAAAATGTACATGTACACTGTCTACTTAATCTTGTGTTTTACTTGCATTACACTTATTTGGTTTAGCAGTGGATTTCTTCGCATTATTATATGACTTTGGCTTGTGGCCGATATAACGCGCGCTCTGGTTGGCTAGGAGCGAGATCTGAGCGGTCATTATGCAGCCGTAATGCCCACGGGCCGATTACGGATTATGCAAATTAGGAAGAGCCCGGCTCGGAAAATTCAAGCGCATTGAAACGATGAAAGCCGATTTAAAACAGTAAGAAAAAGTAAGTAGCTAAAAGTTTAGAGATTTTTCCTTAATAAAACTAATACAGAAGTCGTTTTTGACTTACCAGCCGGTAAACTTGGCGGGCATTAGTGAAAAACAATCAAAGTTTGCCGAGTCTTAAGTAAAGCTAAAATTGCTGAGTGAAAGACACCATCGGCAGATCTGTCATGCATCCTGAGCAGAACACCACGAAGAAACATATAAGTTATCATCCTAGTCACAACAATTA